ACACACACATACATACATACATTTACATATCCCACAAATATATATGAGTTTAAAACAAGGTATATTGTATACTGGTAACCACAGGGAGGAAGTGAGTCAACTGTTGTTGCATGGACGGATTGCAACCATTGAGATGAAACAAAGTGCATGGTCTGTTGAATGCAAAACTGATGATCTGTAAATCTTCACTCAATTCGCGCACACACACACACACACACACACACACACACACACAAATTAAAATTCAGTTCCTCAGTTGCACTAGTCACTTCTGAAGTACTCAGTGCCCACATCTGATGAGTGGCTACAAACTGGACAGCACAGAATATTTCCACTGTCGTAGGAAGTTCTACAGACAGCACCAGTTACCCTTTAGATTTCAGAAAAAGATAGTTAATTAACATACAAATATAGGTGAGCTCTCTAAAATCTAGTCTTTACAAAAGCACTCGATGCTATTTTAATTTGGGGGATGTGTGTGCATGCACAAGAGAGGCGATTTGGGATGTGGAAGGTGCCTTTCCTAGAATCCTGAGATTAGGATAGTGAAAAAGAAAGGATTGAAGAAGGTCGCTCTTTGAAGCCTGTTTTTTGGCAGAGTTGGTTGGTTTGACCCAACCACCATGAACCATTAGACTGGAAAGAAGTATATGAATATATTAAAAAACCAAAACCAAAACCGACCACATAATAACTTAACAGAAATATTCTATCTCTGAAAAAAACATAAAGATTTGTAAGTAAAATAAACTACTCCTACCTTTGCTCTTCGGGAAGAGCAATATTCTATCCAGTTGAGGTAACTCACACAGAAACTCTCCCTGGATATGCCTGCTAGCCGATGGTCATAGTCTTCATCAATGTTTGGGTTAAAGGTCGGGTCCACATCAACATAATTTTGATCTGCGCAGAGACGGAGTCCTTCCTGCATTGGTTCATTAGCAAGCCATTCCTCTAACTTAGAGGATGTTGTGACATAATAAATGATACCCTAATGTGCAGAATATTTGAAATTCAGATTAAATCGTAATTTGAATTAATTAAAAATCCTCAGTAAATATAATTTAGATTGTTCTACTGATAGGGTATCTCAAATAGTATTTAATTCTAGCTAAATACTATATGAATATGTTTTAAAATGCTATAAACTATATACTTCAGGATACAAACATTCAATAAAATATTTTAAAATCAGTCATGAATTCATCAAGGCAATTCAAAACAACTCTAATAGGAAGACTCGAGGTTTAAGCATGAATAGGGGTTATGTAGAGGTAATGATACAAAATGTGGGAAATTCAGACACGGGTCAGTAAAACTTAGTATAGATTTCCTCTTGAAAATACTGACTTTAGCTGAAATCCCCATATCACAGTTATGCTGTATTTCCACAAAATTTTTAGCAAGGTAATTCATTAGAGTAACAGTGCAAACAAGGATTGTTATTGCTGTTATTAAGTGCTGCTGAGCTGGTTCTGACTCCCTAAAGCAGAGGGTCAGTGAAAAAGAGGACAATCCTCAAGGAGATGGACTGACATGGTGGCAGCAACAATGGGCTCACACAGCCATGATTGTGAGCATGTTGCAAGACTGGGCAGAGTTTTGTTCTGTTGTACATAGGGTCACTAGGAGTGGGAACCAACTCAACGTCATCCAACAACAACAAATCTGATTTTGCCCTGGCTTCCCCTAAGGGTGCCTCTTTTTTTTACTAGTTGCCATTGAGTTGGCTCTGATTCATGGAGACCTTATGAATAATAGAACAGAACACTGCCCAGTCCCGTGCCTTCTTTATGACTGTATTCTAAGTACCTTCCAACCTGAGGGGTCACCTTCCAGCACTATATTGGGCAATATCTTGTTGTGACCCATTTAGTTTCCATTGGTTAATTTGCGGTCGCAGATCTTCAGGCTTTCTTTCTAGTCTGCTTAATCTGGAAGTGTCACTGAACGCTACTCACGTGACCTTGCTGGTACTGACAGCACAGCTTCCAGCATCACAGCAATGTGTAAGCTGCTACTGTATGACAGATGAGTGGTAATCTCTAAGCCCTTGGAATGTCCCACTTGATTAAGAATGTCTGTTTCCCTGGGGACCTTGGACAATGCATTTAGTCAATTTTAACAATGTGACTTATGGTGGCGGGTATCTTGGGTCAGGCAGTATCAACGTGACTTCTGGAGGGGCTGGAGTTGAAGATCAGCCACTTGGTCAGTCAACCATGTCTATGTGACTGAGCCCCAATAGAAACTCTGGACCCTGAGGCTTGGCAACAATCCAGGTGTCTGGTCACACACCATTGTTGGGAGCTATTAAAGTCCTGTCTGCACAACTCCATTCGGACAGTGGAGAACAACCAGAAGCTGTGCTCTGGTATCTCCTGGACACCTTCCCATGTGCTTATTTTAACCTGTATCCTTGCACTGTAAAATAAATTGTACCCATGAGCATAGTTGCTTTGAGTTCTGTGAGACTGTTAGCTAATTATTGAACCTGAGAGTGATTCTGGGGACCACCTGAGCTTTGCAAGACTATTTTCCAGTGTACTGAAAGCAGTGGATAACAGCACAGGCTCAGGACCTTTAAAAATCCCAATGATCCATTTGGTAGAAGATTCAGGCTAAGTTCACTTCCATTTCTGTAAAGTTATTCACTAGTAAAGCAGGGAAATAATATTCCATCAGAGAATTACACAGGTGAGTGTATGTGTAGTGTTGAGCACAATGCCTAGAACAAACAGTAGCTGATTATATGACTGATGAATAAATGGGATAAGTTCCAATAAACAAATTGCAAGATTTCCAAATATATATCTTAATACATTCTCTGGATAGTAGAGAATTTAAATTACTGCTGAATAGCAATGTGTAAGTAACAAAGAATATACCAAGGGGCTTCAAAAAATTCTTGGAAAAAACAGGATGAAAACCTAACAGAATTTGTTCACAAACTTTTTGAAGCTGCCTTGTATATCTTTCCCAAGAAGGGCCTCTGCCTATCAGAAGATCTAAGTAGGCACACACTATTACCTTCACATAATAGGTGGTAAGCACTTTCCGAAGGTCAAAGACTTGAAGCATAGAAGCAGCACTATTGTCAGTGATGCTGTAACCCTCCAAAATATACTTAGTGACTACCACTTCCCAAGCAAGCCAGCGCTGGCCAAATGTAGCATTAAATGAAAGCACATGAGGAATATGGCCCGGTTCACAACAGCAGAATCCTTCATCTTCCTCTACACCCTCAGTAATAGCTTCCACTTCCCGTTGTTGACAGTAAGTACCTGAGAGAGACAGAGAGAGGCAGAGCACATTACAAATGAAGATGAAACATGCTGTGGAAAAATGAATTCTTTGAAGACAAAAGGGATTTAGAAAGACACATTTTATAGCAGCTGAAAGTACGGGTAGCAATTATAGCAAGCTCCAGAAACTTACCTTAGAAAATCACAAAAATTTGTGTCATAAAATAATAAACCACTTTAGTTTTTGGCTCACTGATACCTAGATTTTAAAAATTTGGATTTAGAATTGCAATTGTATCAAATGAAGGTAAATCAGTAAAGATACATCTTATCTAAGTTTGAATTACCTCAAAAAAAGAATTGTGTGAAAATCGAGCTATCCCAGGACACATGAGGATACAGACATGAAGAACTAAGAGGAATTAGAAATCTATTTTACTGATATCATGTCCATGCTACAAGCAGAGATGGTATATACATCCCATTTCTTTAGATGTACTGAATTTGTAAAGGTAAATTATAATTTCATATTAAATATATACTAAAAACAATCTTTTGTTCCCAGTTCTGACAATGATTTGATAACACTGCATTATTGGCATACAGGGCTTACCTACTAATAAAGCGTCAATTACATATGAAGTTGTATTCTTTTATAAAAGATACTAATCAAACTGGCAGTTTCTGCATTAGTATTATGGACCAAAAAAAATGCAAAAATAGATTAAATATAGAATCAGACCCATAGCAAGAGAATTTCAGATCAAGAAGCCAAATAAAGGGGACACTGAATGGCTTAAAATCAGGAATGAGGTGTGTCAGGGTTGTAACCTTTCACCATTCATGCTCAATCTGTATGCTGAACAAACAATCTGAGAAGTTGGACTTTATGAAGAAGAATGTGGCATCTGGATTGAAGGAGGGCTTATCCACAACTTGTGATATGCATATGACACAACCTTGATTGCTGAAACTGAAGAGGATTTGAAGCACTTACTGATGAAAATCAAAGAACATAGCTGCCTATATGGATTACAACTCAATGTTTAGGAAAATAAAAATCCTTAACTGGACCAATAAACAGCATCAAGATAAATGGAGAAAAGATTGAAGTTATCAAGGACTTCATTTTATTTGGATCCACAATCAATGCTTATGAAATAAGCAGTTAAGAAATAAAATGGTGTACTGCACTGGAAGTTTGCTGCAAAAGAAATCAAAAGTGGTAAGAGCAAAGATGTCACTTTGAGAACTAAGGAGAGCCTGACCCAAGTCATGGTATTTTCAATTGCCTCATATATATATGACATTTGGACAGTGAATAAGGAAGACTATAGAAGAATCAGTGCATTTGAATTATGGTGTTGGTAAAGAATACTGAAATTACCATGGACTTCCAGAAGAACAAACAAATGTGTCTTGGAAGAAGTACAGCATGAATGCTCCTTAGAAGTCAGTATGCTGAGACTTGTATCATGTACTTTAGACATGTTAGAAAAAGGACATCAGGCTTAGTAGAGGGACAGTGTAAGAGAGGAATACCTCACTGAGATAGATGGGCACAGTGTCTGCAACACTGGCCTTAAACATAACAATCACTGTGAGGATTGAGTAGTGATCTGTTCTGTTCTCATATGACTCAACAATAACAAACTGATGGCAAGCAAGCGTGGGCAGAATGAACAAATTAGCTAGAAAGTAAAGCTGGAGAAACATGTAGAAGCCAGATCACACAGTGTTGTTAACTGTCCAACTCCTGGCCACAATGGAACAATATGCTGTTTCACCCCCGTGACTGGTTTCCGATCAGACTGTTAAACTCCACAGGATTTTCACTGGCTGATTTTCAGAAGTAGACAGCTAGGCCTTTTTTTTCCTGGTCTGTCTTAGTCTGTAAGCTCTGCTGAAACCTGTTCAGCATGGTAGCAACATGAAAAACTCCACTGGTGAGAGGTAACGGCTGCACAAGAGGTGCATTGGCCAAGAACAGAACTCTGATCTCCTGCATGGAAGACAAGAATTCTACCACTTAGCTACCATATTGCCCCCTGCAGTGCTGTTTGTTGTTGTTAAGCGCTGCTGATTCAGTTCAGACTCACAGCGATCCTGTGTAGGGTTTCTGACCTTGAACCACTGACCTTGCTGTTCAAACTGACTTTGCAGTCCAGGGTATTAACCCACAGTGCCACACTAGCCCTGTTAAAAGTCTTAACTGTATTTTACTATTATGAAAGTAACCTTATTGACTTTCCTCTGCCTTACACAATACAGCATTCTAAACTGTCAGCGACCTAACCATATACGAAATCAGTCACAGAACTACAGAAATTCAACTTCATCAGGAAACTAGGAAAACAAGTTAATTTTACACACTAAGGACACTACTTTTAAACACGAATGGGCTTCTAAAAATTCGTGGAAAAATATAATCAAAAGATAAAAGAATTTTCCACAATTTTTTTGAGTCCCCCTCGTATGATGTTGCTCTTAAGTGCCGTAGAGTCGGTTCTGACTCATAGCAACCATATATATATTTTTTTCTGAGGCTTTAAACCTTTTGCAGAAACAAAAAGCCTCGTCTTGCTCCTGTGGTGCAGCTGGTGGGCTTGAACTGCCAACCTTGAGGTTCGCAACCATCCAGTACTTACTCTATGGCATCATCGGCTCCCACGTCATATAATGTTGTTAAGTGCCACTGAGTCAGTTCTGACTCATAACAACTCTTTATATGGTTTCCATGGAGTGGCTAGTAGGTGTGAACCAACAACCTTGTGATTAGTAGTTCAGTGCTTATCCTACAGCAACACACCAGGACTCCACCTCATATAATGTTGTTGAGTTCATTCTTACAGTGACCCTGTATAGGGTTTCCAAGAAGTGGTTGGTGGGTTTAAACTGTCAACCTTGTGGTTAGTAGTCCAGCATTTATCCTACAATACCACACTAGGACTCCACCTCATATAATGTTGTTAATGTTGTGGAGTTGTTTCTGACTCAAAATGACCCCGTAAAGGCTTTCCCAAGGAGCAGCTGGTGAGTTTGAACCACTGACTTTGTGGTTCAAACCTATCTTGTGGTCCAACTTACCTTACGGTATCACACCAGGATTCCCCTCACTGCAAAAATGGCTCTAATCTGCAAAAATTTGGGGGAATGAGGAATCTAGTATCCATTAACAACATCTCTCATTCCACAATTCCAAAGGCTAACGACTTTTTTTTTTTTTTTTTTAATGTTTTATTGTGAATTATATGATAGTTTACATGGAAGAACATTAGTTTTACATTCATCTTATCGTATACTGTTTCATTGCCATGGTTACAATCCCCTCCATGCATCATCAAGCAACCAAAGGGTATATCCTACAAGCCTGCCGCCCATCCCCATCCCCACCCCTCACAGCTGCTCCATCTCTTGTCATCGTTTCTGTAATGGCCTCCTTTTAATGGCAACTTTTGGTTTGTGAAACAAACATCTAAAACTTAAGATGTCATAGGAGTATACTTGATCAATAAAATACACGTGAGTGTCTTACCTCTGAATTCCAGTCCCCGCAGCTGGAATGTGACCAGGCCATTGCCTATCTCAATAAGGTGCACTAGTGCATTGAGGTAGTCAGAGGCCAGAATGAAGCACTCCCCAGTACTGTAAGTCCCCCAGCGTCCTAGAAGCAGGTCGCCACAGAGACTGTGTTGTAAGGATCTGGTTAAATGCTCATAAAAGATGGAATTCAAATTGTTGTCATCTGATCCTAGGAGAAGGGATTGGAAAAAATGTTCAGTTTTACTTTAAATCATCTTTATAGCAACAAACAACATTGTTAAAAATATTAAAACTAACTTTTGGCTAGGGCTGTATCTATGTTTTTGACAAAAATAATAATGTACAAACCTTACAGCTTCTATATAAAAATGAACCATGGGATAATGGGAAAAGTTTCAGAACTCAGAGTTAGACATCAACCTCTGTGAACCTCCAGTTGTCATTCACAAAATGTCGTAAATGGGTGAAATCTAAGGTCTTTGTCATCTTTGAGTTAGCTGGTGCTGCTATCCTAGAAATATCACAAGCGGGTAGCTTTAACAATTTAGAAATGTATTTGTTTTTTACAGTTTAAGAGGCTAGAAGCCCAATTTACGGTGCTGGCTCTAGGAAAAGGCTTTCTGTTGGTTCTGAAGGGAGGTCCTTGTTTCCTCAGTTTCTGTTTCCTGGTTCCTTGGGGATCTCCAAGTGTCTTGGCACCATCTTATCCATCTCTTCCCTGCTAAATTGCTTGTTCGATCTCTTACATCTCAAAAGAGACTGCCTCAAGATGCATCCTACACTAACCCCGTGTCACTAATATAACAAAGACAACCCATTCCCAAATGGCAAATAATAACAGGCATCGTTGTTGTTCCAACCTGTACTGACCAGGTATAGGGTTTCTGAAGAGTGGCTGGTGGATATGAATCACTGACCTTTCGGTTAGCAGTGAAGTGCTTATCCTAACTCCAGCTTAGAAATATATAATCATAGTAATAGAGGTTAGGATTTACAATACAGATTTTTGGAGACACAAATCAATTCACATCAATCTCTGAGAATCTGTGTCTTTTCTATTTACTATTTAATGAAATAAGCCTTGCAATTAATTAAAATCATGTACAAGAAACAGTATTAGATATAAAAGAGATTCAGATCAAGAACAAAAACACACTGCGCTAGTAAAGGAAGTAGGTAAAATTACCCCAAGATTTGAAGAAACAAAACAGTAAAAACAGGGAAAAGAGAAGTTGTCAGTCTAACAGAAGTAGCCCACTGGGATGGGTAGTGCTAGCTCAGTAGACACAAAGTGCACACACTGAGACAGCAGTAAAGAACCTGAAGAGTCTGATGTTAGGCTCATCCTATCTGAAAATTAGATAAAATGTCACTTAAGAAATGAGACAACCATCTCTACAAGTGACCTATCCAAAGCAATAATTTCTAGAGCATGCCCAAAATATAGTGTTGTCGTTGTTAATGCTGTCGAGTTGGCTCTGACTCATAGCAACCCTGTATAGGGTTTCCAAAGAGCAGCTGGTGGGTTTGAATCATCTACTATAGTGTTGTTTTTGTTGTTGTTAAGTGCTGTCAAGGTGGTTCTGACTCACAGCGAACTTGTATAGGGTTTCTGAAGAGCAGATGGTGAGCTTGAACCACCAATTTTGCGGTCAAACTGACCTTGTAATCCAGTGCATTAACCCACAGCACCATTCCGGGGCTCCATAGTATAGTGTTAGAATAAAGTAAAATATTAAAAACTCAGTAACTCTTTCAAATTCAGTCTTATTAAAGAATAAAATTGGAGTGCTGGTGTGGCACTGTGGGATAATGCACTGGATCTCAAGATCAGTTTGGACTGCAAGGTCAGCGGTTCAAATTCATCAACCGCTCATTTGAAATCTTATACAGAGTTACTATGAGTCACAGTCGCTATGAATCATAGTCGCTATGAGTCAGAACTGATTTGAAGGCACTTAACAACAACAAAAAATAAAATTACAAAAGGAGTACACCAGACTCTAATGTCATTAAGATGAATTTATCTAATTCTTTATCTGCCTATCATAAAAATGAGCATATTAATTCAGGACATGGTCTTTTTGTTCTGCAGGAAAGCACTGTCAACATTAGGAGAATTCTAACCTTCTTGCAATGTACTGGAGCTAAGATGGGTCTTTTATCTACTGGAATATGATCATGATAATCATAAATATTAAATAATTAATAATAGTCATTAATAACTAGTTCTTGCTCCAATTTTAAATTATGAATCAACCTGATGACTATAATTTATCAGATGGAAATTTAATTTCTCTTAAGAAAATTTGTAAGTCAAATGGTCACGAATATCCCAGTCTATTTGTTTGTTGTTGTTGTGCTGTTCTGACTCTAACAACCCTATGCACAACAGAATGAAACACTGCATGGCCCTGCACCAGTCTCACAATTGTTGCTATGTCTGAGCCCACTGCTACTGTCACAGTGTCAATCCATCTATTTGGGAGTTAATATTTCTTAATATATTGTAGGAGAACTGGTGTGGCACTGTGGGCTAATGCGTCAGACTGCAAAGTCATTTGAACTGCAAGGTAAGGTGGTTCAAGCTCACCAGCTGCTCCTTGGAAACCCTGTACAGGGTCGCTATGGGTTGGAATCGACTCGATGGCACTTAACAATAACAAATATATTGTAAATTAATACACTGAAATTATGATTGGTACATGAATTTCTAAGAACTGGGGCAGTGATATTCACTGTCTGTGTCAGGTTACGACTGTGTGGATCAACAAAATGATGTTTTCAAATGACAAAACCCAGACTAGGAAATAGTGTGGCACTGTAGGCTAAGCACTGGACTGCTAACTGCAAAGTCAGTTGTTCAAATCTACCAGCTGCTCCTTGGAAACCCTATTCAGGTCACTGAGTCAAACTGATGCTACAGCACTTAACAACCAAGTACCAGGAATGCCATACATTGAAGTGCTAGCTAACTGGCCAACTGGTGTCTAAACCAACTCAACTGCACTTAACAACACCAGAGGGCACCTCTACATACAATAAACTAAGTGGAACTTCATTTATATTCACCTAAACATTTGTGAAAATATTAATAAAACATGTATCAATCTGATTACATACCTTTCAACATATCTGACCAGTTTTATTTCAACCATTCTACTTTTTAATCCATAATACCTTTTAAATGCATTTTTAAGTACTACCAGCATTCTTAAAATGCATTTTATAAAAGATGGACAAATGAATTTACAGAAACTTATTCATATATGCTTTTAGTAAAGCACCGAATATTTGATTTTTTAAAACGTGATTTATTTTTCATTTAGAACCCACAGGGGATTTCCAACAAGCTCAGTGTGAAATACAGATATTGCTTTCCTTATATTTGTCTCTTTACTAAAAAAATAGAGCTATTACCTGGATTTCTGTCAAGCTGGGAAGCCAGTCTGGTATTTGAATGATCCACTCGTTTTGTGCTGAAGATGACAAAACAAAACATTTTCAGTATTTCTTTTTCACATTTCAAGTGTTTAACAATTAAGGATAAGGAGGAAACATACACAATATAAATGAAATAAATATTGCCACCTTATAAAAATCTCAGGTAAAACCTATTTTAGCATAATGATAAAATACTCTGAGGAGCACAATTTTAGGGATAAAGTATTTTTGACTTTCTCACTTTCCTTCTCCCCACATATACACAGAGGTTTTTCCAAATTGTACTTTCCTGAACACTGTAAAGTAAGATACTCATGAGTAAATTATGGGAAAAAACAAACAAAATTGACCAGAACAAGAAAATGTACACTATCTGATGTTCTTAAAAACTGGCAATGCATGAAATATTCTTTGCCAGGGGATGGCCCAACTACTAATGTCTGATGACAGAGTGTAATTTAGAAAAGTGCTTCAAAAAGCATGGTTCACAGAACTCCCAGCATGAGGTTCAAGACCCTCTGCTGTTAGGGGCTTTTCAAGATGCAAACAATTTTCCTAACACTTACCCTAACTTGTTTCACTGTACTGACAATTGCACTAATGGTACAAAAGCAATGGTGTAACCGTGGCTGGAACCTTAACATGAATCAAGGCAGTGGCACCAACAGTGATACAGAAAAAATTATAATTTTGCCAAATCTCATCCATTCTGTAAAGGTCCTTTTAATATTCTTTGGGGTAAAATAAGAAAACATTCATTGGCTAAACTAAGATTATTGAGGCTTGGGAATCTAGCAGACATTTCTTGAAGATGAAGAAATGTAGCCTGTTTTCGGTGAAAACAAGAGACAGCACTGTTGCCAAAGATGAAATTCAAGACGCAGGGAAAAACGTAGAATTTTGGATATGTGCACTCATTACCATGAACTTCCTTGTACTTAAAGATTCTGTTGTTGCTGTTCAGTTGGTGATGATATTAATGAACACATTTAAAAATATGCCAACATCTGGAAGATTTATATACCGAGTGAACTAATATTCTCCAAATGGTCAATAAGTGATGCTACAAAATTATGCATGGATAAAAGATCCATTCAAAGTATAAGAAAGATCAGTTGATTTTGATGTAACACAGTTCTAAATGTTCATGGATATGGTTTTAAATTCCACATCACAACCAATCATTAAGAAAATATCATTTCTCAAGTTTTGGTGATATGTCAAAATAACAATTATCTGAAAAGGTTATTAAAATATTTCTTTCTTTTCCAACTGCATATCTGTGTGAGGTCAGATTTTCTTAATATACTATGATCAGTGGCTCCATACAGTAAGAACAGGAAGAGAGCCACAAGGTTGGCAGTTCGAGCCCATCAGCCACTCTGCAGGGGAAAGATGAGGCTTTGTTCCCTCAAAGATTTAAAGCCTCAAAAACTCCATACAAGGTTGCTAAGGATCAGAGCCAACTCCAAAGCACTGAACAACAACAACAACAATTTCGATCAAAATACTGTAATAGACTGAATGATAAAGCAGACATGAGAATCTAGCTTTTTTTTTTTCTTTACTACAATAGACACTAAAAAGATTTGTAAAACATTTAAATAATACCACTCTTTTTACTAATTTTTGGGCACGAAGTATAAATACAGCTACTCTCATTTTTAAAGTTATTTATGTTATCATGTAGTGAGTCGCTATTTTAAAATTAATAAATAACCATTTAAATGTTTCTGAGTTTTAGTTTCTAATGCATTAAATATTAATAGATAAAAACCCATATAAACAAAAAACTCCTCAAAGTCCTCAATGATAGTGTAGAGGGGTTTTGAGATCAAAAAGTTTAAGAACTGCTTTGAGCATTACTTTGGGCTAAAAGCTGGCTCTAGGTAAAAGAATAGAATCAAATTCTATCTGAAAAACACTGAAATTGCAAAAATCCAAACCCACTGCCATCAAGTCAATTGTGACTCACAGCAACCCTACATGGGGTTTCTGAGACTGTAAATATTTACAAGAGTGGACAGCCTCATCTTTTTCCCACAGAGCAGCAAACTGCCGCCCTTGTGGCTAGCAGCTCAACATCTAATGAGAAACACCACTGAAGTAAAGTGTGATTTTAGATAAAGAACCACAGTAAAAGTTTCAAACCCACAAGCTCGTTCATTGCTTAAAAGGGAGATGACAATTCTCACCTATTAAATTTTCCAATGTGTGAAAATGTAGAGAGAAAGAATCTTGGCTGGTAGAATCATAAATTACTAGTGCAAGCTTTTTGGAAATCAATTTATTAAGAGCTTGAAAAATGTTTATGCTTACTGATTCAGTTAATTTCCCTTCTAAGAACTCTTCTTCAAATAAATAAAATAGAATTTGGAGCAATTACATGCAAAGATAGTGCCTAGGCAGTAGATCAATAATTAGCCTAAGGAACTAAGCTTAAATGGAGAAAACATCATGTACAAGAATGCCATTATGCAGCTATACTCATGATAAACCAGAAATGACTATAAGATAACTTACTATAACTATTAGAATAACACAGTATAAAATACAAAGTTTAAGCGTATTGTTAACATGGAATGATTTCAAGAAATATTATTAAAAGGAAAACGATATAGCAATTAATATATTAACTTATAACTACTCTCCCAAAAACTTATGAACAGAGAAAATAGAATATAAAAATAATTTTCTTATGCCTTTCTGCTTTTACTATATTTTCACATTTTAGTTTATAAATTTTCAGCAAAAATAAGTATTTCAACACAAGTCATAAAGCATAAGTAACTTGTAATACTAATACTGTCATAACTTTGTCTAGCAAAAACGATACAAATTGAGTATCAACTGTACAGATTTTACTCACTTATAGTCTCTCTCCCAGAATTTCACAGGCCGGACGTATGAAGTGATGAACACTGCACTTCCCAGGAAAGGGTTTAGTGGAGTAGAAAAGAAGGCTGAAACAATAGCCTGAACAAACAACATGGCTGAGTCTATGGGAAATGGGTTAAGGAACTTAATAGTCACCTTAACACAAAAGAAAAAGCATATCTTACAAAAACATTTAGATGAGTAATTAGAAAAATGAGATTTATCAGCAGAACGCAGAAGAGGCTGTGTCACTAGTTAAATAAGTTAGAAGGACATAAACTAGAAAACACAACCTGGCACGATGCTTCGAAGGGACTCAAATGAACATCTGCTAACATGCAGCTGGTAAAAGTCCATTTATCAATCTTAGGTAAAAATGCTCACATAATTCACTGAATTGCAGGCCACTAATCTTTTAGTTAGAGTGTACTCTTAAGAAATGATGAAAATAGAAAAATTTTAAATTGTAATCAATCATATTATTACAAAAAATGGTTATTTTTACTTATTTAAAAATATTTTAAACACATTTTATATATATTGAAAATTCCTGTTTTAATATTCAGTATACAAATAAAATTTTAACTCATCATTCAAATTTAATACTTTTTCTATATTCAGATATCTGTGGATCACAGGTTTTCAGATAAATTAAACAATAAAATCAGTATAAGCATGAACTCAAAGAACTGTGAATTTCTGATAATGTATCAAACATTAACTATATTCTGTGCTTATGGAAAGGTTATGCCTACAAACCAACATTTTCATGAAGGATATGACTGCTCATTCTTACAAAACTGTAATTGGAAGGATACGGGGCACTGCAAAGGGCTGAGCAAAAGCATGGAAGGCAGAACCCCAGGTAATCTGCCATGGGGCAATGTAGGTATACACAAACTGCAATTTATAAAGGAGTTCCCAAAGCTGTAGAAGGAAAAGAAAGACAGTTAGCAAAGAAACTACTGGTAGATATGTCAATTAAAAAATGGAAAACTTCTGAAGCATATTTTCTCCATGATAGGGAGTGTAATGAGATTACATTTCTACAAAAATAAAAGATAAATATCAACTATGAAACCATTGCACTTTGTTTTAAGGTAAACAAGTTGATTTATGGGTTTGTGTTTCATCTGTTTAAAAAGTCTATAGGCACACTTTTAATAACTATACACACACACACACACACACACACACACATATATATTTGAAGGACAACTTCCCCCAAATTTTAATGTTTTGGAAAACGAGTTTCTCTTGAATATAATGTGTAAAGGAATTTAAAAGCAGTCAGATAGAGGATAAAGCTGTAATACAGTTGTCACTTCATATGCTTAAAGGATATTAATTTTATGTATTGGACAGCTGTTCATATTCCTCAATTATCATCATGACTACTGGTAGCACTGTGTTGTTACATCAAGTTGGTACTGACTCAGAGTGACCTTATGCACAATAGAACACAACACTGCCCAGTCCTCCGCCAACCTCATAATCACTGCTATGCTTGAGCCCATTGCTTCTGGCACTGTGCCAATTCATCTCATTTGGTAGTCTTCCTCTTTTTCACTGACCCTCCAATTTATCAAGCATGGTGTCCTTCTCCAGGGACTGGCCATCCAG